GAGAGAGAGAGAGAGAACTCGTAGGAGGTTGTGGAGGATGTCGAGAAATGAAGGCCAACGGCCTTGACCTTGTCCGTGATTTCATCGTGAATGAGAGGGAAAGAGAGGAAGAGATACAAGAAAAGACATCGGTCAAAACAAAGTGGCCTGCTTTCTTGTTCATCAAAGAAACGATAGTCAACAGGCAGGAAAGCAAATCCAGGTAAACGGCCATTGATGTTAATGACTAAAATTCCCTTGGTCTTTTCTACTAACTACATTATGAAACTTACTTTTTCAATTTTAAAGTAAAAAAATTATGTATATAATGACCGATTTATCGATTCGAATTTGTTTAGATAATGACAAAAATTATTAACTAGAAATTATATTATTATGAATAATCGATGTCATTTATGAAAATAAAGAAAATAATGTAAGTATATTCTTATCTAGGAATAATTTTAAAATATAGAATTTATTGAACGATAATAATTTAAAGTTATTTTTTTGTTAATCTATGCTCTTTCTTAAATGATTCACAATTCATAAATATATATTATTAATTTTTTATGCATATTTTTGGCATAATTTGTATTTACTAGAAGAATAACAAAATAACTAATAAGAAATAGATTCTAAAGATTAGATTTTTAAAATTATTCCATCATGATTAAAGTGATTAATTATTTGTGAAAAATATACAAATACAAATAGAATAATGATTTACATTTATTTTTGTAGTTTTAACTTTTTTAACTTTTTCGTAAAGTAAAAGTATATTAGGATATATATATTCGATATAAAATCAATATTATTATTAAATAAAATAATAATATTTTGTTAATACAAATTTTGTAATTGTATGTATTGGACTAATAAGATCAATAATAAGATCAATAATAATATTATGTTCGGTATTTTTTAAATATTTTTTTGTATAAGAATTTAAAAAAAATTATGTCATTCTATAAACATCTATTTAATTCCCAATGATACGATTAATTGCTATATAGTTGTGTATATATCAAAATAAAATATATAAATAATTAAATGAAGAATTTGTTTCAAATCAAGAGAATTATTTTCCTTATACTATTGATCAACACTTGATTTACACTTGCAAATATAAAGAATAACTTTTTTGATTAATACACAAATATGACCAATAGGTAGTAACTAGAAATAGAATTTAGTTACAAGTAAAGAATATGAAGAAAAGATTGATTAAGAGCGAAATATATATTGTTTTCGCAAACTTGATCGAAAATTATATATTTGTCTAATAGCATTTTAATGAATGAGAAACATTGATGATCGCAAAAAAAATTATTAAGATTCGTTGTTCGAAAAAGGACGGGAAAATCTTGTCTCCTGACCTCGAGGGAGTAGGAGAAGTGAGTGAGGTCGTTCTACGATCGATAACGCGAGTCTCTCGCGAAAAGGTGTGAAAGAAACTCGTCGAGTACAACGAAAGGGCTGAAAGAATCGATCTCATTCTATAAAAAGAAAGAAAGAAATTTTGATATCTACCGGTTTTTTTTTTTAATAAATACTTGACGAATAAAAAAAAAGTTGGCAGTATTCTTAGTATTCTTAATATAAAAGAACATACGTTTATTATCGTATCGCAAAGGGTTGCGTATACGGGGGTGAGTATACCCGCCACTGTCTGTCGTTCGTTTTCTCTCTTCTCTTTTTTCATTCTCTTCTCTCGTATCGTCCTTCATTTTCGATCTTTGTCTTTCGCGGGTGCTGTTACTAGCGATCTCCGTCGTGTTCGCCACTCGTTCATTCGCATGCCTGCCAACTATGCCACACCGAAATTCATCGAAGAAACCGTGGTGATCATAGCCCTCTCTTTTTACGTCATTCGTTAGGTAGTAGATTCTATCTTTGTTAGACGAATTATAAAGACGTTAGTTATCTCTTTGTTGCACTCGATACTCGTAAGATATCGCTTGTATCTCGTGATACGTGAGTGTGTGTTGAGTGGCGGTCGTGCAGACAGGTGCGGCCGCCGGAGCCCCATCGTTGGTGGTGGCGCACATTGCGCCTCCAAGCGGCGATTCTCCTTAGTTTCGGGCAAGATGGGCGAATCTCGCCGGGCAGTAGCTTAGACTCTACCTACAAGACAACACATATACTAAATGTTTCCTAACCACAAGTAACAATTAATTGTACATTTATTTTATTTAAGGGAACACAAACTCTATTTTTGTAATATACTGTATTAGTAGTGCTTTGTGGAATTTGTACGTAAAGAAAGGTGCGAAGCCACGCGCGATATAACGGACGAGAAGACGACGAAAGTAGGAAAAGATAGGAAGGTTTCTCGATAACTGGAAGACCTAAATACGAAAGAAGAAAAACGGATACGAAAAAAGATAAAGAAATAGTGGATGAACAGAAAAAAGATAAAAATCAAGAAGACAGCAACTGAAACGACGAGGATAACGAGGGGGGACAATTCCGACGAAGACGGCAACGAGGTGGATAAGGACGATCGTACCGCAACAGTGGCCGCCACTGAGGCTGAAAACGACAGCGAAGTAGGTGATAATCTCGCGTAGTCTCTCCGCTCGTTGACTTAGTTCGGTGTAGCTAGCTGATTTTCTTGATGTGGTGCGTGTTTTAATAACGAATTATAACGTGGAGAAAAGTGTTCGATTGATAGTAATAGTGAAGTGTATAATCGACACACCCTCTTGACACTCAACATCTATTTCATACCGTCATCGGTTCAACTCTTTACCCTCTTCTTTCCTTATCTTGTTCTTTTTCGTTCTATCCTTTATTACATTTACGTACCGCGTGTACATTTGATCACTGCAGAAAGCCGTACATACTACGTCTATCTTTTTCTTTTTCTTTGCTTTTTCTTCGTCATAACCCTCAACTCGTTTTCTCTTTCTTCTCTCTCTTTTTCTTTCTTTCTCTTTTACTCTCGCTCTCTAGATTGTCTTATTATCTTCTTCTCTTTCTTTCGAGCGAAGTGATTTATCGTTTCGCTTGTCGCATCGAACTTCGTTTGTGTTAAAACTATACCGACTGACTAACTATATCCCTTTACATCCATAACCATACATACTGTACTTCGTTCTTACCCCCTCCCAACAAACACCCTCGTTTTACGAAGCGTCTCACCCACACCTATTTGTCCTTTCTTTCTTCCTCTTTTTCTGCCTCCGCTCCACCCCGGTTTATCGGCCGATCGGAGTGCAAATTCGTTCGTGACCGTGCTGTGTGGGTTTTGCATCTACTAGTGTCGAAAGATATAAAAACGGGGGTGACGCCGTACTTTTGGCAACATCAGACCAGCAACGTACAAATACGAATAAGAGAAGAAACACATATTACCGTAGTAATAGGACGGTACGGTATCGTTTCGAGCAGGCGCCACGAGCGATAATATCACTAACATGTCCGTGAGAATGGAAAATGTAGCCGCGCCGAGGAAGCTCAACTATAAAATGATAGTAAGTAAAGAAAACACAATATTTCCTATTATTATATTTCATATTTTGTTCTTTTATTAATCATGTCGGTCATTTTCTGCATTGAACCCGCCATGCTCGTTCTTAAGCTGCGTGCATATTTACATGTGTATACACGCTCTTGGAAAACGTAGCATTACCATGGGGACGGCTGATGGCCACGAACCTTGCGGAACCGGCGTAGTTTGACAGTTTGCCGCGGGGCGTCTGCTGCCCCACCCAATCTCCTCTTTCTCTCCCCCACCTTAACATCTCGTTCGTCTTCACATATTCTTTCTTCTTTCGTTTCTTCTGGTCTATCGTGTTGTACTTGGAAAGAATTTGTCTGAAATTATTTAAAATATATGCATTTAATTTTTTAGTTTTCATTATTTTTGATTATTAATCATAATTTTGTTAATAAAATTAAACGTTTAAATAAATTATGAATGACAAACTTGATAAATAGAAATATATATATTACGATAATTATATTATGAAGTTACCAATAATATATTAATAGTAATTGAAGTAAATTGAAGTAGATATATTTTTATTAATTTAGCATTCAAATTCTTATTTTTAAAATATTCCTTTTTTATATTTTTACGATAAAAATATTAAAAATAATTGATTCAATTAATCTAATCTGTAATTTTATAAAAATATAAAAAGAATAAAGTATCGAAGATCACATAATCAATATAACATATAATTTGTTAAATCATATATATATTTTTATATATATATATTTTCATATATATATATATACATTTATAATATGATATATTATGAGTATTATTATCAACTAATTAAAATTCCTTTTAAAATATAATTATAATATATATTTATAAATAAATCTAAAAAATATTATTAAAAGTTTTTTTCATTTAAAATATATTTTATTAAACTATTTTAACATATTATTTTGAATAAAATAATAATTTATTATTTTCATAATTTTTTTTGCTAAAATTTCCAGATTAAAAATTTTCATATTTGAATCATGCATGACAGGCTTTTATTCTTATGCATACGTTCCTGGCATTCTGCGCAGGCTCTTGTCGTCTTCCTGTTCTCTGCCTACTTTCAATAGCTACGCTTTCCGTGGAATAATTATATATTTTTTTATTCGATATAAATTTTTGTTTTGATATACAATAAATTCAATATAGAAGATATCAAGTACTAATAATAAAAAAAATAATAATTAAAAATAAAAATGCACTAAATAAAAAAAAAATAATTATAGATAAATTGATATTGATATTATCGAATCATTTTTATTTAATCGATTTTGTAAAAGTAATAAAAATGAATAAAATTTTTTTTATTAAAAGAATTTTTATATTTTTCAGTTTATATTTTTTTATTAATGAATTTTTTTTTTTCATAATCAAAATTTTAATAAATAAATATCAGTTATGAATTTAGATTAAATGAGAATAATAGTTTATTCATTTGATATAATAGTTCGAAAACATTTTATTTATTAGTATTTAAAGAAATCTTATTTGCTTATATGATATTTAGATGCTTGTGAAAGCGACGTGGAGCACACACACACTATCCGGAAGCATTCTTAATCTGCACATTGAAATTCGACCTAACGCTCGCCAGTGTAGCCAACTTTGTCGTATGCTTTTAGTCAGACAATATCATTTTCATATATTTTTTGATGAAGTATTTTCGTAATCATTCATCTTTTGGAATAAGAATCAAAAATATTATATTTGATATTTGTTGATATCGATATATAAATTCTTAATAATTCTTGAAATTCATAATAATATAATCAAATAAGTATCAAGTATAATTACAGAATATTATCAATAATATCGATAAATTAACATTTAATCTTTTTGCAAAATTTGCTATTAATTAATATAAAGATTATTACGAATGCATTTAAATGATTTGACATAAACAGCTGTTCTTTCAGTCTTGCCAACGGTAAATTGATTGATATTTGAATATTGCAAATCAAGAAGGAAACAAAATATGCAATTTATATAAAAATTATTTTTTAAAACAATTTTATTTAAAAATAATTTGATTAGATTAGATGGTAAATTTTGGGGAAAAAAAATAATTTCTTAATATTAAATTTAACTATATTTGAAATTGAAAAATATTTTGAATATATTGTTGATAATGTAATTCAAAATTGATTAAATTGTCAAAAATAATCGTGATTTATTATATATGTATTTTGAATAATAAATAGATCTTTTTATTTGTATGTATAATAATAATAATTCATTCATTAAATTTAATAATTGAAAAATATTTATTGATATAAAAATATAATTAATTTCGTCATAATAAATTTTTTACTTTTTTTACTGATTTAAAAAATTTTAAGATCTCATATACTTTTGATAAATTTCTAACAAAATTATAAAAATATCAATTAGTTTAAAAATCTTCAATTTTAATGATCAAAAATCAATTTTTCTACATTCCATTTCAAGCCAAAAAATTTTTTCTAATATATGAATGATTGGTAAATCGCAATTGTGATCTTACCCATTAAAATGTTTCTAAATAAAATTTACCTAAACGTATGCAGAATCTTACGAAAGGAAAGTTAGTGATGTAATAAAGTTCATTTTTTCCGCAAAAAAAATTTTTTTTTTAATTTTTCTATTTGTGTACGTAGAAATAATGATCCATAAAATTGTTATATTCTCTTAAAACTTTTGAATTAATGTATTGTTTTTTAATGTTAATAATATTTTATTCAAGAATTATTTTTTTGATCATAATTATTGTATTAATTACAGTAACAGTTCTGCTATTGCAGTTCTAAATTAAAACATTAAACATCATCGATCACTATATCACGTTCTTGATTCAATTTTTTTTACTTAAAAACATGTTTATCCTACAATAATTAAAGATTAATTTTCAGCAAACTAAGTATGTTCTATATAGTTTGAATTTCGTGATTTTTTTTATTATTTCTTTTTTTATTATCTTTTTTATTTTTTATCTTTATTATCATTTTTTATTTTTTTTTATTTTCTTTCGAAAAAAATAGAAATAGGAAAACTTTGCTTGTAATATTCGATTGCAAATAATAATCGATTCTTTGGTAAATACATTTAGTGAATTGACGTTGAGAATTCATAACAATAATTGAAGCGATTTGTTTCAATCGCAATTATATGTGCAAGCCGTTTTCTTCATATGCCACGATTACTTCTAGTGATCATAATGATAGATAGATTATTTATATCGATCTGCATATCTCTTGAAATCTAAAATATTAATAAAATACTAATAATTATGATATAATTTTCATCATAGATAATTATTTTTATTGCTTTTGATTGAAATCTCGAAATAAATTACACAAGTTATACAAATATGCGAAATCTGAACTTTCAGTCATTTTTTCATTTCAAATGTTATTTAACATTTAAAATTTTAATATTAGAAATAAAACAACTATCCGTTTATTTTTTTTAAGTTTGTAGCCAAAAAATAAAAATGAAGGCTTAGTTTAATTTTTTTCAAAAATCAAAAGCTTTTCAATTAACTTTAGACAGTTAAAAGACGAATGAAAGATTATAGATCTACTTTTCCTAAGTCGCAAAACGAAAGTATCAATTGATGTAGATGGCTTTACTCGAAAAGTAATTTGTAGGTGGATAAAAATTACACGTGACGAAAAAACAAGCCAGTGCGCAAAAGGGAAAGGGACGAGAGATGGAAGGGTGGAAAAACGAAGGGAGAAAAGGCCAGGTAGGGTAAAAAGAATAAACTCAGCAAAGATATCGATTATTTGTGGTTGCAGTGGCGGTAAAGCTTCGCTCCCTTCGTCAAAGTATGAGGATGAATACCCGGAAATCTCAACGATACCGAATTGAGATTAATCTCATTTTTGCCTTCCGGTTTTGAAATACTTCTTAATCGAATTACATGAACGAGGGTCTCCATGAACGGAAGGAAAAAGTATAGTAGCTAGAATAAAGCTACTAGCCTATTATTATCAAGAATTTTTTTTTTTGTATTTTTATTTATATATTTAATCTTAATATTTTCAAATATAATAAAAAATCTTTCTTTTGATTTGAATATTATCATAAAAATCCTTTATTAATTTCTCTATTAAATTCTATTAAATTTTCTAATAATATTATATTTTAATAAATGAAATAGAATAAACTAATAACCAAAAATCAAAAACAATAAAACATCCAAGATTTATCTATAGAAATTCAACTTTTCTATTCTGCTCTCAAGAATCATATCTTCTGTTAATTATCAGAGAAAGCGTGGAATTCTTCTATTGAAAGAAGAAATATTCGCAACATCAGGCCCAGTATCTTTATCGGCGCTTGACCATGATTCCTTTTACCATTTGTCTTAATTTGCCTTTTGTTCCTTAGAGGTAAACCAATTTCGCGATTACATAATTACGGTAATTTCTATATAATAGATAATATGCCAGATAATATACGATATACGATATGGCCAAGATGTATTAATCGTCCCGGAAAACGCGTTACACGATGAGTCATACGAAATGATGAGAGGAGAAAAGAGAAATATTAATGTAAAATTGAACAAGGACCTTGATTTACCTATAGTGAAAGAAAGAAACTATTTTTTTTCCTTGGTTAAATTGAAGGATTCATCCGTCGTTACGATATAGAAATTGTATCTTCATCGAAAGATGCCTCGGGCGAACTTGCCGCTTGGGAAACCTGCAACTAGCCGTTTTTATGCAAAATAATTTGATTGCTTTTATTGCTCGTGCCTTTTAATGCCATCGATATCGCATACGTCTGACATTTTCTTGAAGATCTTCGCATATATACTTCTATAAAATTTTTTCTTTCATCTTTTCGAATAAAATTTACTGAATAAGACTACACAAATTCTGGTTTTTAAAATAAAATCATGTTGTTAGATTGTGGTATAAATTAGGATAAATAATTTGACGAAAAGAAAAAATAAAAAAATAAAAAAAGAAAATAAAAAAATAGAAGATA